ATATGCTACTAGGCATGTACTACCTCGAGGTCGCGCAACCTCGGTTTGATTGGGATAGGAAGGTGTTGATACACAAGCTGCCAAACGGTGGAACCGTTAGACTGCAAAGCTAGCAGTCTAGTGGAGAACTACGGCTGCATGTGTGCTTCCTCTTTCTATAACTACTACAAGCAGAATCGCGAGGAGGGCATGTATCTAGTCTTTGTCTCTGAAAAAGGGGAGGTCATTAAAACACCCCCAGAGATAGAATCAATCGTCGCACAATATTCTGACCTTTTTTAGGAGCCCACAAGCATGGTAGAAAGGGAGGTGGTCCATGCGATAGAGGTTGTCCCACATATCCTCACATTCCCTCCTCCTGTACTTCGATAGTCCTCTGAGAAGTTTTCTATTCTGCAGGCATCTTCCTTTTAAGATCTCTTTCATAGCCTGCAATGACTTGAGGTGCAGTTCTCATGAGTTGTTCTCAGGTGAACGACCAATCTTCGCTGGGGTCCACATGATGTTTGAATCTGACCCGGTACTGCATTTTTGGCTTAGGAGGGCGGCCTCTGCCTAGTGGTCGAGGAACTAACATCTCACGATGCTCCACCATCTGGTCTATGTCCACTTCGCCATTCATGGTTGGGGGCAGCATTGACCTCCTGGAGGGAAACTGATCTGTGGCAGCGAAAGGTGCCAGCTTGGATGCATGGAAGACAGGATAAGTACGCGAGTGTGGAGGGATGCGAATCACGTATGAAGGCCCATCCGATTGATCCCCTACAATGTCTAAGATCTCCCAGGACCCAAAGTACTGCGGCATCAGTTTTCGTGAAATCCCCATTTCTTCACCTAGTTCACCTATCACCTACCTTAAAATTAGAGGGTCGTCAATGTTTATTCTCAGATGCGATCATAGCCTCCTGAGACTTCCTAATATGTTCAACGGCCTGCTGCAGCATCTGTTCATACTTGACAACAAACTCTATGCTGCCAGGTGCTGTAGTGGGTCGCCTTTCTGGTAGCAGAAAGTCAAGTGCACTTTTGGGCTTCCAACCAAGATGCAGCTGGTTGGGAGTCATACCAGTAGTACTGTGTACAACATTGTTATACAGGCTGGCAACGAGAGGTAACTTCTTGTCCCAGTCATCCTGACTTGGCTTAATATAATGTTGAAGCAGGTGTTGTACTACGCGGTTCATCTGTTCTGCCTGGCCATTTGACTCAGGGTGATTCCCTGACGTCATTTGGAGCTTGGTACCCATCTGTTCAGCAGTCGTTTGCCACAATTCGTTGGTGAACCTTACATCCCTGTCACTTACTATTGACATAGGTAGTCCAAAATCCCTGACCCAGTTATCCAGAAACAGTTTGATGACATAGTATGTTTTAGCAGTTTCTGGCATAGCGATTAGTCTTGCATACTTAGAAAAGCGACCCACTATCACGAAGATGTGTCTTTTTCCAGACCTGTGGGTCACGAGGGTAACCATGAAATCCATGGACACACTCTGACCAGGACCTTTAGAAATCGGCAAGGGCTTGACGAGCCCAAGCGGAGCTTAAGTCCTGGGTTTGTCCCTTTGGCAAACCTGGCAAGTTTCAATATACTTTTTTGCATCTTGCATCATAGTGGGCCACCAGAACTTTTGCACTAGATTAGCTGAAGCCTTTTTATAACCAAAATGACCAGTTGCATCATGACATTCCCGTAAAAATAAACTACACAAAGACTCACTACTGGGAACACACAATCTTTTATTCCCTGCCTTCTCAAGAAACAGCAAGCCGTCTACCATCGTAAATTCATCCAAAGTCTTTCTGTCCTTTGCTTGGAATCTACGGATGATCTCAAACATAACTGGATCTCGTTGATAGGCTTCCACCGATGATCGAGTTAAGTTAGATATGCCAAATTCAGTTACTAGTGCGCCCAGGAAATCTGCCCGACATGACAATGCATCAACTATCTTATTGTACTCTCCCTTGATTGGATCAAGTTGATAGCCATACATGTCTATCACTTGAATCCATCGCTTGAGTGCGTCAGAGAGTACCGACTGTGTCTTAGTCCAGCGCAAGGTCTCATGGTCAGATCTCACATAGAAGAATCTGCCAAGGAGAGTGTCTCCAATGTACCAGCGCTCTATACAGGGCATAGAGCTCACGCTCATAAGTGGACCTGGCTAGTTTCTGAGGTGACATCTTTTTACTCATATACTCGATAGGTCTCAATTTTTTCCCCTCTTTTTGCGCAAGGACCGCGCCTATGCCATATTGGCTGGCGTTTGTGGTCACGACAAAGGGCTGATCAGGATCTGGGAGCTTGAGGACTTCATAGTGTGTTAGAGCATACTTCACTTACTTAAAGGCCGCCTCACACTCTTCTATCCATTCCCAAGGGGTGTCAAGTCGAGTTAGATCTGTTAATGGGGAAGCTATAGTACTATAGTTCTTCACAAATGGACGGTAGTAGCCCGTCATCCCCCAAAACGATCTGACCTCGATAACAGTTTGAGATATGGGCCAGTCACGAATGCTGGCCACCGTCGCATCTTCTGTCCTCAACCCTTCTGCCGTAATTTCATGACCCAAGTACAAGATCTTGGTGCGACCAAACTCGCATTTCTCCAAGTTAACCTTGTAATGGTGTTGTCTTAGGAGCCCTAGCACTATTTTCAAGTGCTCAGCGTGCTCCTCTACAGTCTCACTAAAGATGAGGATATCGTCGAGGTACCCGACGATAAACTTATCTAAGTAATCATGAAAGATCTTGTGCATTGCGTGTTGGAATGTCCCAGGCGCATTGCATAGGCCGAAGAGCATCACCACAAACTCGTACAGACCGTACTTGGTCTGAAATGCAATTTTGTGCTGGTCCTCACGTCTAATAGCAATTTGATGGTATCCGGACTTTAGATCTATCTTAGTAAAGTACCGCATTTGGGGGTCCAGGCAGTTTCGTCGCGGCAGTTGGTTGAAGGGAAACACAGGCCGAGCAGTGTGGAAATTCCCAGGCCTTCTAGGCCTTTCCAAAAGCTCAGGCCCTGGGCCAGATTCACAGCCTCATACACAGATAGTTGGGAGGCCCAACCGAACGAGGCCCGGTAGCTGCACCAGAGGCGCAGCATCCTGGGGCCTACTGAAAGCTTTTGGGTCGAGGCCAGTCCAGCCAGGCTGCCGAACAAGGCAGGTTCTTTCCATATAGGAATGCTGCTGAGGGCAGCGCCATAGCCCAGCCTCCATCGCTGGCTGTGGGACATACAGTGAGGCGCAGGGGTGGTCTTCGGGTGTACAACAAAGGGAGACATGGGAGAGAGTCAAGGGGGAGAGAGAAGGATGCTGATGATGATGTGAGGGCACATACCTGGTATAGGCGATGGTTCTGCATGGGCGACACCTTCAAGTACTTCGAGTGTTGCTGACGTCAACAGTTGCATTGTCAATTAGTATGCTAGTAGTACCTGTGTAGGGAGTAGGCTGGGCGCCGACGCCAGGTAGGGAGATAGAGACTGGATACATACGTTGGTGGTGGCGAGAGCAAGCTCTCATTGACATTGACTTTCAGTGCTACGATTCTCAATTGGTGTTATATTGGTGCAGTGCTGCTTCCTGGACATCGTGTTACGATTTGGCTTTCAATGTGATTGTGTAATTTGAATATTGTCATCTCTCTTCTGTTCATTTTCCTTGCAAAAGGAATAAATGAGTTTTGATGAACATCGAGGGAGGGGCGATCCTATCTACTGTTGATTGGGTGGTAGCATGGTAGGTAGGGTACGTGTTGCATACTGTAACGGTGCAGACCAGAACAAGAACCGACCTCTCTCACAAAGTACAAGATAGCATAGCGGAAGACTTAGACACCAATGATCCGAACAGTCAATATTGCAATGCAGCCCCGAACATACATCATCGTCATCACTCCATGGTGTGAAGGGGACTGGCGCTCACACAGGAAGAATGCGCCAGTCCCCAACCATACATAGACGAAGAAGAGGAGGGTTAGACGAAGAAGAGGAGAAGATGGGAATGTCGTCAACACCAAGTCTTCGACACAGGCCCAAATAGTCCCTCGTCATAATGTCTGAATCCCAATGTCGAGTCTGGATCCAATGTCGTCAAGTCTCAAGTCACAACTCTCTCTCTCTCTGTCGTAGTCCGCTGATACTGAGAAGTCAGGTAGTGAGAGGGTGAAGAAGAGATGGTGGACTTAGAAGAGGAAGAAGAAGAACTCTCTCTCTCTCTCTCCGTCCGTTACTAACCTGTGAAGTCGGCGCCTTGATGCGCGTAACTTGAAGACGAAGCTGGAGCTATGGCGCCACACGTAAGTCTCCCTGGCCTCCGCCGGCCATCTCCCTCTCTCACCTCCTCTACCTCTACTAGCGCCCAGCGCTGAAGACTACTGCTACTGCTACTAGTGCCCGACGCTGAAGACTACTGCTACTAGCGCCCAGCGCTGAGGATTACTGCTAGCGCTAAGCTACTCCTGCAACGCTCCTCCAGAGTGCTGCTGCCGAATCCTAAAGACTACTACTGCCTCGGCCTCTGACTGCCCGTGAAGTGCATGGGAACTCCCTATGTACTACTCGGCCTGCCTCCTGACTGCCTGGAGCTGTAGGGCGGGGCAGTCCAGGAGGCTGCTCTTGCCAATGCCGAAGTGAGCCAGGGCCTCCAGCTGCAGCTCCTACTGAGGCTAGCGTGGGGAACAGGCCAAAAATAGCCTGTTCCGAAACCCTGGTTTGGTGCCTGAGTGTTAGGGTAGGTTGATCTTATGAGGGCCCGAAAGTGGCCCTCCGTTTCAGGCTGAAAAGACTCAGGGCCTGAAAGGACCTGTTTTAGGCTGAAACGACATAGGGCTTGCAGACCCTCGTTTTTCAGTCTTTCAATCTGAAACGACACGGGGCCTGTCAGCCCTTGTTTCTAGGCTTTTAGGCTGAGACTGCGGGACAGGCCCTGCAGGCCCATGTGGCTGCGCAGTATGCCACACACCCCCCTCCTTGAAAGACCGAGCTTACCTGCGAGGGCGAAGCTGTCCGTCTGAGGGAGGGACCACATTCCGGGTGGGAGGGGCAGGTCGTGAAGGTCCCTGAGCTAACCTTTGTCGCTCGTAGTGAGCGTAGATCAGCGGTGCGGATGCTTTCAAATCTGTTCCTGAAATCCACCGAGTGTCGTCGGGATCGCATGCTTTGAATGTAACTTTGTACTGTCGAGGCTTGCTGCCGTACTTGCGATCCGTAATGACGCGGTCAACCTCCTGATGACCATCCATAGATGGAGGATCTTGCGATCTTCGGCCCGGGAAGTCGTCGCTCTTGGCTGGTGTATATGTTGCCAGCTTCGAGGAGTGAAAGACTGGCTGGACCGTCAGATGCGGGGGAATGTTGATCACAAATGAGGGGCCATCGGGCTCATCGCGCGCGGCTGATGTTACGGGCCATGGTCCAAACCACTTGGGAAGCAGTTTGCGTGAAACATCCTGTTCCAGTGCAAACTCTTCCGCGGAGACCCATACCAGATCACCAGCGCGGATGGGACATGGCACGCGATGCCTGTTGGCTTGCTGCTGCATGCGGACTTGAGCCTTTTGCATGTTCGCGCACGCTTGAGCCAGCAATTCCCTGTACTTCCGAACGAAAGCGGGGGAGTAAGCAGCATCTATGTCGGCTGTTCGTGGGAGGAGAAAATCAGCGAAGATACGGCCATTCCGGCCATCGTGGTGCAACTCAAATGGAGTTACGCCAATCGCCGAATGTAACGAAGTGTTGTAGGCAAACTCGATGTCAGGGAGGCGATCAACCCAATCCTTCTGATCCGGACAGATGAGCGTACGAAGCATCATTTGAGCGGTTTGATGTGCCCGCTCCGTTTGCCCGTCCGTTTATGGATGCCGAGCCGAACTTGGTTTCATCTTCGTGCCGGATTCCTGCATGAGAGAAGTCCAAAATGCTGATATGAAGCGAGTGTCGCAGTCGCTAACGATGTCTTCCGGCACGCCATGGCTGCATATCCAGCTGGTGTGTAGGAGGCATGCAAGTTCGGGAACCGTGGCGTAGTACTTGCCAGGAAGAAACTGCGCATACTTACTCAAACGGTTTCGATCGTGAGGATGTCGTCGTGCCCGAGCCGGTCGCGGGGAAACGGACCGGTGACGTCCATGGCAATGGAGAGGTCGGGTTCCAATGGAATAGGCATCGGGCGCAACTCCCCGTAGGGATTGCGGTTGCGGGGCTTGCTGCATCGGCAAACTTCGCAAGAGTCGCCATACCAAGTGACATCGGTAATGAGATCAGGCCATCGGAATCGTTGCCGAAGTCGTGCAATAGTGCGATTGACTCCAAAATGGTCGGCGAGTCGTGAGTCATGGTACTCACCGAGAAGGCAAGTCCGAAGACGACGGTCGTGTGGGACACACAATAAGTCCTTGCCTCTCGAGTGGATGAGCAAGTACCAGTCGACGATGCGATAGTGGCTGGCCGGCGGGTGATGCGAAGATAGTTGCGCATACAACGTCGCGAAATCCGGATCCGACTCATAGCCCCGGATGAAGTGTCGCTGAAGTTCCTCATCGAATGTGAAGGCATGATGTGTCATAGCGCAAAGATTGGGTCTTCGCGAGAGTGCATCTGCTGCGCGATTGGAGAGGTCGGGGAGACGTTTCGGTGTGAAGTCAAATTGGTCGATGAAGTACATCCATCGTCCGAGTCCTCCTATGGTAAACAAGAAGATGAATCCTACAACGAATCGATCGTGCTGCTCACTGTATCCTGCGTCTTGTAGTAGGTCAATGGGTTGTTGTCCGTGACCCATGTGAACCTACGACGCCCAAGGAGGAAGTGCCGCCATCGCTTGAGAGCCATCACGAACGCGAGCAGCTCCTTCTTCCTTGCATCATCAAGTGAATTGATGCGAGGCACTTTGTGGCTGAAATACTCCACAGGGTGCCCATCGTCGCCATCATGTTGTTCCAAGACTGCCCCAATGCCATAGCCGGAAGCGTCGGTTGTCACTCTCGTTGGCGGGGTGGGGTCGTAGATGCTAAGGACGGGTGCCATGAGCATGGCCGTCTTGAGTGCTTGGAATAACCAACGTGCGTCGTCATCGAATACGAATGGCATCTTTGGCGATTGTAATCTCGTCATAGGCGCGGCAATCCTTGAGTACCCGGTGATGAAACTTTGATAGTAGCCTGCCAACCCCATGAATGAACGAACGTCCGTGGTGTTGGTGGGCTCGGGCCATATGCAGATGGCCTCGATCTTGTCCGCAAGCGGACGGATGCCTTGCGGCGTCACATAATGTCTCGAGTACTCCAGCTCTTGCCTCGCGAATTCGCATTTGTCGCGGTTGGCTTTGTACTTGGCTTGTCGTAGACGCTCCAAAATGGTGCGCAGGTGCTCCATATGCTCGTCCAAACTCCGGTTGTACACCAAGATGTCATCGAGGTAGATGAGTACGAATCTATCCAGCATGTGTCGGAACTCCATTGTCATGGTCGCTTGGAATGTGGCCGGGGCATTCGTAAGGCCAAAAGGCATAACCAGCCATTCAAAATGCCCATATCGCGTCTTAAACGCGGTCTTGTAGCGGTCCTCCTGCCGGATCTCGAGTTGGTGATATCCCGATTTGAGGTCAAGCTTGGAGAAGAACTTGGCGCCGCCCAGTCGTTCGAGGAGGTCGTCGATGCACGGAAGAGGGTCGGCGCTCTTGTCGGTTTGCACGTTGAGCTTGCGATAATCGATGCACAACCGCAGCTCCTTGTTCTTCTTCCAGACGAAGAGAACGGGAGCACCGTATGGCGAAGAGCTAGGCCGAATCCAACCTTTCATGAGGTAGATGCAACCACGCGGAGGTACGGCCCCGTCCTCGAGGATGATCTCGTGGCGGATGGGCCGATCCGGTACTACTCCGTGTGGTGTTTCAAAAACGTCGCCGTAGGCGTCGAGAAGCTCGATGATGCATGGGTCCGGTGGTGAGTCCGTCAATGGAATGTCTTGGGGCGGGCGGGCGTGGATCAAACACACCCCCATGTCCTCGATGTCATCCCAAATGATGGAAGCTCGAATGCTCGTGGCGGACACCACGTGGCAGCTGATCGAAGGGTGAGGAGGAGGCACCGTCCATGGGACTAGTACTCCGTTCCGATGACGAACGTGAACGGTGCGGCGGTAGAAGTTCACCGGCTGATCCTCGCTTCGCAGCCATGGCATGCCCAAGATAATGTCGAACTTGGTGTCCAAAATATCGAAGGACACGGCCTCGCTTGCATGCGGGGCGAAGTACACGGGGACAGCATCAATGCACCGGTCTATTGACCTGTGTGTGTGACCGTCGGCCAACGTGACTTGCGTGGGCTGCCTCTTCCTCTGAACGTGTGGCCCAAGGCCAGCGCGTACCATAAAGTCGCTCATGTAGTTGCGAGTAGCTCCGCAATCAATCAAAGCGCTGCAGGTCGTCTCTCCGATCTGAATGCGTATGTACAACAATGCTGCGTCGATGTCGTCGTACCGTTGTGTCTTGAACTCGTGGTCGATCTTCGCAATGTACGCGTGAAGGTCAACAACCTCTACTCCGACGTCCATCAACGGAGTTGGTACTGCAGTGTGCAAGTAATCCCGCAATTGTGCCATGAGCACGTTGCAATGCGGTTTCGGCAATCGACCGGACCGGGGAAGGGGCATCCATTGGAAGTCCGCAAACGTCAACGGGTCGAGCTCTTCAAGTCTTGACCATGTCGTCGAATCCCCAGCGATAGATGACGGCGAAGTTGCCGAATCGGTTGCCGATGGGAGTGAAACCGTGCATGCGGTGGATTGCTGCACGTGGAGTGGTTGGTCCAACGGTGGGACCAAGTGGACAGCATAATCCTCGTAAGTGAACCGAGGACTTGCGACATTCGCATCCTCCCCAGATGTGTAAGAGGCCGCTAGCACGGCGGCCGAATCTGGCGGAGTGAGAGGTGGAGTCACCTCACCTCCCGCGCAACTCAGTTTCCCGAGTTGATGCGAGGCCGAACATCCTCCTTGCCTTGATCCGGGCATTGGGAGATCTTGTAATTGGTGTTGTTGCACCAATAGCAGCAGCCATACCGGCCGCGCCACTTGTATTCGGCCTCGGTTAAGTGAAACTCAACCCAAGGTGCTGGCTGTCCGTTTCCGGCAGGCGATGCGATTTTCGCCTTCCCTTTCCCTCGGGAGTTGTTGTTGCTTCGCGGCTGGACAACAGCCACCTGATCTCCCTCACGTGATGCTTGGGTGGCTGCCGGGTCTTCCACAATGTTGTCCGTGTGGACTGCAGCGACATGCTGCGGAGGCGGACCAAATTTTCCTTTCTCCACATAGGTTGGCTGCCATGCCGACTTCTCGTGTGCAGCCGCCCTATTGGTCTTCACGATCTCCCTTGCCTTGTCGATGATTTCGGCGAAGGTCGCGTATTGCTCGCAATCACCAAGTGCAAGGCTCAAGGCAGCACATGACCGGTTGTAGAACTCCCGACATAGATGCGAAAATGGCAATTCAAGATCCGGCGTCACCGCGATCGTTTGCCATTCCGTGAGCCAGTCACGTGTCGATGTGTTGCCTTGCATCATAGCGACGAGGCGGTTGATGGCGAGTGTCGGGGCGTCGTCCATGATGAACCGCTTCTTCCATAGCCGTGTTAACTCTTCCCACGAGATCTTATCTTTCAAATCAGCGACCTGGACGCCGTGAAAGGTTGCCAGGTGGCTGAGCCAAATCTGGCATCCGCCTTTTGAGTTGAGGAACAACGCGCCGATGTATGAGTGCTTGGGGACGAACAAAATCCGAAGTTGCGTCGTAAAGCCCTCCCACCAGAGGACCGGGTCTTGATGTGTATAATCATTGAACTTCTCGATTTGGAATGTCGGCATCTTGTAGTGTTGTGCGGTGTTGCCATCTTTGTTAGGCAGCTGGTGCAGTTGTTGAACCTCAGTCTTCAAGGTGTCCAGCTGCTTGCTGATGGTGGCTGGTGCAGCGAAGGTAACGATGTCGCCGAGCATTCCGACTACGTGGTCAACTCGTTCCTCCAACTGGCGGGTAGAGGGTGCACTGCTGGTCTCGCCAGCATTCGGTCTTGGTGTAACTTGCTCCAAGTCCTGTACATGGGAATTAAGTGCCCGTGTAGCATCCTCGTGCAGATCCTTGTGGTTCTACATTGCCCGTCGGAGAATCGCCACCTCGGACTGCAGGTGGTTACAAGTATAGACCAACAGGGTCACGAGCTTGGCCAGGAATTCCTTATGCTGCTCCTCTAGTGTCGCGTCGTCGTGCTCCTCGGATGGTTCAAAGTGCCAGAACTTGAGCCTTTCGATGCTGGTGGCTTCATGCCGCTGTAGCAGATCCTGGGCCTCCTTGTGGTGTGCCTGGGTATCTGCTTCTGCTTCGGCCTGAAGCCGCTGCTTTTCAGCTGCTGCCGCCGCTTCAACCTGTAGGCGGACAGCCTCGGCTGCCAGCTGGCGCTGTTCCTCAGCCTCGATCAGTGCCAGCTGATCCTAGAACCGCTGTCGGTACTCGGCAATGGACTCGTTGGCCAGTTGGCCTGGCATGCCCAGAACTGAGCCCGTCATGGTGGCGGGGCACTGCTGACGTGGCACTGTGGCACTGCTGACATGGTACTGCTGACATGGCACTGCTGACATGGCACTGCTGATGTGGCACTGTTACTGATGTGGCACTGCTGTCGTGGCACTGTTGCTGACGTGACACTGCTGATGTGGCACTGTACCAACCAGGGAATGCATGCAAAGGGGTGGTTGGGAGGGAAAACGCAGGTAGGTAACCAACCCAGCTATACTTTCCTCCCGGTCCTAATCAACAAACTAAAATAAATAAAAAAATAAAAGAAGAGGATCACCCCCCCTTTTTTTTTTTTTTTTTGTATGTCTGTCGATCTGCTATGAGTGAGGTATGTCAGAAGAGTACTATGAGCGAGATCTAGGCCAGGTTCCGCAAAGTTCCGGCTTTCACAAAAATGCAATCCTGAAAGAAAAAAAAATTGTGAAATAGAGTAGAGATGCGATTTTCAGAAAAGAAGTTAAAGAACTAAATCCAGTTTATGAGAATATGGCAACCTCCTAATATGCCTAAAACGAAATGCTGGTAGGCTTCGCAAGATTTCGGTTTTCAAAAAAAAATTGCGAGATAGAATGGAGATTAGATTTTCAGAAAAAAATAAATCCGGTTTCCGAGAATATGACCACTTCTATCGTTATCCTAATATGCCTAGAAAACGAAATGTTAACATCGGAAATTTTCGGCTATATATGCGAATATCAGAGGAACGAAATGCTACTATCAGGAATTTTCAGATCAAACGAAATGCGATTATCAGAAATTTTCAGATATTTGTTGCGTGAAAACGAATTACTAATATCAGAAATTTTCAAGTAAAACGAAATGCGATTATTTGTTGCGACTCGCCGCTTGCGAGGAAAAAAAATAATTCAGAGATTTGACGAAGTCCTGCTTGATTTAGTAATAAGTAATCAATATATCAAGCAAGCTGGCTACTTGATTGAGCGGGTCCTCTGAATGAGAGGTCCGCTCCGATACCAAACCGTTGCATACTGTAACGGTGCAGACCAGAACAAGAACCGACCTATCTCACAAAGGAAGAACGCGCCAGTCCCCAACCATACACAGACGAAGAAGAGGGGGGTTAGACGAAGAAGAGGGGAAGATGGGAATGTCCGAACAATCAATATTGCAATGCAGCCCCGAACATACATCATCATCATCACTCCATGGTGTGAAGGGGCCTGGCGCTCACACAGGAAGAATGCGCCAGTCCCCAACCATACACAGACGAANCCCCGAACATACATCATCATCATCACTCCATGGTGTGAAGGGGCCTGGCGCTCACACAGGAAGAATGCGCCAGTCCCCAACCATACACAGACGAACAAGAGGGGGGTTAGACGAAGAAGAGGGGAAGATGGGAATGTCGTCAACACCAAGTCTTCGGCACAGGCCCAAATAGTCCCTCGTCAAAATGTCTGAATCCCAATGTCAAGTCTGGATCCAATGTTGTCAAGTCTCAATTCACAACTCTCTCTCTCTCTCTGTCGTAGTCCGCTGATACTGAGAAGTCAGGTAGTGAGAGGGTGAAGAAGAGATGGACTTAGAAGAGGAAGAAGAACTCTCTCTCTCTCTCTCTCTCTCTCTCTCTCTCTCTCTCTCTCTCTCT